GCTGATGGCACGTACCACTGACAGAATGTAATGAGAAAAACACTTTACCTTAGTGGTATTACTCTCTGAAAACTATAACCCCAGTCTAATCATGAGAAAACATAAAAAAAAAAATCACAATTGAAGGATGTTGTATGAAATACCTGACCAGCACTCTCAAAACTTTCAAGGTCACCAAAAAATGGGAGAGACAGAGAGCTTGTCACAGATGAGAAGAAATTAAAGAGATGCGACGAGTAAATACAGGAAGAAGAAAGGATATTAGTAGAAAGCTAATGAAATCTGAAATTTAGAAAATAATATTGCGCCCATCTTAGTTTCTTCATTTTACAAAAGAACCATGGTAATATAAGATTATACTGTAGGGGAAATTAAGCAAGAATTTTATTAGTTTTCTAGAGCTGCTATAACAAATTATCACAAAGCTTAAACAATACCTATTTTCTTTCACAGTCTGGAATCCAGAACTTCCAAGTCAGTTTCCCTGGACACAAATCAATACGTTGAAAGAGTCATGCTGCCTCTATAGGCTGTAAAGGAAAATATATTTCTGGACATAATGTTCACTTTTTTCAAAACAAGAGACTTTCGAATAGGTAAGGCTATCATTCGGGAACTTAATTTCACTGTGGCCTTAATGAAACTAGGTGACTGCACATTGTACAACGTTAACATCACAATCCTAAAGATAATTTTGCCTCTAAAACAATCTTCAGGAATGCACTCTTGACTTCCTTGTTCCTCAAGCTGTAGACCAAGGGGTTCAGCATGGGGATGAGCATCGTGTAGAACACAGAGGACACTTTGTCTGTGTCCATGGAGTGATTGGAGCTGGGCCGTAAATACATAAAGATGTCTGTTCCATAGAAGATGGAGACTGCAGTGAGGTGGGAAGCACAGGTGGATAGAGCCTTCTGATATCCTGCAGAGGAGTGCATCTTTAGAATGGTAACAAATATCAATATGTAGGATACCAAGATAACCAGAATCGCAAAAAAAGTGTTGAAGCTTGCCACATAAATAAGAACCAGCTCACTAACATGCCTATCAGAGCAAGATAGAACCATGACTGCTGGAATATCACAGAAAAAGTGATGGATCACATTGGACTCACAGAAAAAGAGGCTGAATGTGTCCCCAATGAGGATGGCAGCATTCAGGAAACCACAGATGTAGGAGCCTATGGCCAGACCTGCACACACACCTGTCGTCATGGTGGTGGTGTAGTGCAGGGGTTTGCACACTGCTGCGTAGCGGTCATAGGCCATTGATGCCAAGAGGTAATTTTCCACAGTGACAAAGGCTACAAAAAAGAACATCTGAGCAGCACATGCATTGTAGGAGATGACCTTCTCTTCTAGAATGAATCCACACGTGACTGCAGGAGTGACAGCTGAAGAGTAACACATATCCACCACAGACAAGTTACCAAGGAAAAAGTACATGGGAGTGTGGAGACGAGAGTCCCTCAGAATCAGCACGATCATCCCCGAATTCCCAATCAGAGTGATGAGGCAGATGAGGGTGAACATGATAAAGAGGGGGATCTGCAGTTCTGGGACATCGGTGAGTCCTAGCAGGATGAACTGTGTCACTTCTGTACTGTTCTTCATAAATGATGAGGTGCACAAAATGCTCTGTCGCTATGAGGAGAAACAGAACTAAACAAAGAAACGTCTTCCAATAAAAATAGGCTTGACAGCGAAATTCAATGCATTAATTATATATAGATTTACACTGTTGAATTTGAAGGATCTTCATGGATCATCTCTCCAATTTTAAAGTTTATAAGTTTGCAAATTGAGATACAGAAAATTAAAAAGCTCAATGAATGACTTGTGCAGAGTGAACATATCCGCCAATTCATGTTTCCCAAGCCTACTAAAAGCATATACTTGCATGTTGCTCACCTGACAGAAACTGCTCTAGACATTTTAAATGTATATTTATTATATCCTCTTGAGAACATTATGAGTTCGTTTAGTTATTACATTCATCTAAATTATGATGCACAAGAGGTTGGGTAATTTTTTATGTTCCACATATTAATTGACAAGCTGTGCTTTGGACCCAAGCCAACCTTTGAACCCACATTGAGCGGTTCCTGAGTCCCATGGTCTAAACTGTATTTAAATCAAATTGAATTCAACCCAGTTACATGCCCTTCCCCTCCATTGGTTCAAACTCAGTGCTTGGGGCTTCACAGTGAAGTAACTGAGAGATAGATAGAAGCACTGTAGATGCAAGAGGATCATTGGAGCGGTAGGGGCACATGTAACCAACAGAGGCAATTCTGAAGAGAAGGCTAAGCCTTGGCTATAGAGCTCAGGCTCTGGGACGAGGTGCATATCAAGCCCTACTATTTACTACCTGGGAATCATTATCCTAACCTAACTCACCTGAACCTCAGATAGCCATCTGCAAAATTAAGACAGTAATGAGATCTACTTTATTTGTAGTATTAGGACGAGAATGAAGTAAGGTAGTACATTAAAAAAACAATGAAATGCTGGGTGTTCAGTATAGTCGGATGAGTGCTAGCTGTAATATTACTATTAGGATAAGATGATTATCTTTAAGTTGGTTTGAGAAAAATGTGTGGCGACCTGCAGATTTTAGGTGGGCAAGAGTTTCCATGTTTCTTGCACACTAGCGCAACTGAGATTTTTATGTCTCCAGTGTTTCTCTGTCTATTTTTGCTTCACCTCCAGAAAATCCATGTGAGACACCATTCTGCTTAATTTCTTCCTGGAGTCCATATTTGAGCTTGAAATAGTCCCTTTTTCTTTAACTCATTCTTTCTATCATTACTGTCATCTCATAGCAGACTCACAGAGATCAGGGGTGACAGTTCCTTGTTTATGAGCTGTCTTTAGACTATAGATTTTGGAGGCATCACTATGGTGTAAAATATTTTATTTGAATATGTTCTTGTGTAGGAACAGTATTTGAAATCTTTTAATTTCAATTTGAAAGGCATATATCTTCTGCTAACTACTAACATCTTCCTCTTAAAACTTTTGCAACTTCTCTTCACTAGGCTATCCCATGACAATATTATATTTGCCAACCTTAACACACATGATCACACTTAACCATATAGTATGTTCTATAACCAATAAGGGCTTTATATGTAAGTGAGTGTATGTGTGTGTGTGCATGTGTGTGTGTGTGTGTGTGTGTGTGTAAGGTAGGTAGTATTATTATTCCTACTTTACCATTAAGCAAATTGAGGATTTGAGAAGTTATGTGATGCTCTACAATTACACAGCTAGGATGAGAGTCAAGATTCAAGAGTTAAATCCACTTTTCATCTAATCAAAAACCTATGTTTGCAGCCATTCACAGTCAACATGTGTAGATGAGCTAGTAAGAAGAAGCCTGAGATTACAGGCAAAAATTTAAAATGCAGTTTGGATCTTGTTAATTCATATTAGACATTTTTGTAGTTTAAAGATCACTCTACTCTTTTCCTTTTTCTGTTTATTTGTTAGTTTTTGTTAGTTTTTGCCTCCAGCAAGAGGGTCAACATTTGGTAAACAAGATGAAATTACTACTTGATCAATCAGAGAATCATCTATGTTACTTTTTTATTCATAGTTTTAGGAAAGCAGAATGATGTTTCATAAGTATCAGTAAGCTCCCTACTGGTGGAAATTTTGACATCAATACCCCAGTCTCACCTCATTATTCCAGAAAAACATTGAAGATATCTATGTCTGTTCTCCAATGACTCAAAATAGGTGTAGCTGCCCCACTGGTTTTGCATGAATTACATTTCTCACTAAAAATGTTCATGGAATATAGATGCTTACCTGTCTGCTAGTAGAGAAAAAAAAAAACAGTCAATTCTGAATAGTGAGTCTGAACGTCAGCTGTAGAATATGCACAAATACTATTAGAGAAGCTCTCTCTCTGGTAATGGTCATAGATTCCAAAGTCTCTAAGGCAGGGGAAAATGGAGGGAAGAATATTAACATGGTTCACTTCCAGAACCTACCATGCACCCTTCCTGTGCCCATAGAGGAGGCACCTACCTCCTCCTTATTTGTAAAATAAACATAATAATATTACCTCTATCATGTAATTCACAGAACTGTGCCTGTAAATAACCAGTAATAGAATACCTGTAAATAATCTCAACAAGAGATTCTCATTTTACAGTCGATCCACATAATTTTCTCTGACTACGGTTGCAGGTTCATAGCGAATCCTGGAATACTAAAAAGTATAAACATTCAGATGAATCGATGATCACCAAATGAGTTCAGCATGCACACTGGTCCCTCCAAAGTGATGTCACATTGAGTCATGTTGGGATTTCAAAGGCTACGGCTTGGGGGTGTGGAGAGAATTAGAGAGACATGGAGCTCTCTGGGAACTGCCCCTGTGAGAGCGTCTACAGCACCTCATCTCACCTTCTCAGGAGAGAAGCAATTATACTGCCTGTGGGGACATGCTGATTATTTTCCTCCTACACATGTTTTTGTATTACTTGTGTTTTCTTGTTACTTTTGTGAATTTATAATTAATGCATAATTTTTGTACAGTGATACCCACATTTTAGTGTATAGTTTTAAGAATTCTGTCAAAGGTATGGTCAAGTAACCACTATCACCTGAACAAATTCTTATGATGTTCTTTTGGTAAACCCCTTCTCCTACCCACTACCCCTGTCAAACAGTAAAGTGTTTTGTCCAAATAATTTTGCTTTTGTGAGAATGTCTTGAACTGTAATCCTAGCATATAGACAATTCGAGTCTGTAATCTTTCACTTGGCACTTGAGGTCCATCTGTTTGGGTGTCTGTGCCATACTGGAACATTCCTATTGCAGAGTAGCATTCTGTTACATGGACAACATGGAACGTCTGCCTACTCTGTTCCACAGTTGAGGAACATTTGTGCTGGGCCCAGTGTTTGGTAATTACCAATAAAGCTCACATAAGCATTTGCCTAAACATTTCTGTGTAAATATAGGTTTTCATGTCATTTGAAACATATGTAGGAGTTGGATTGCTTGGTCATATGGTAAGTATATGTTTATTTGAATGAGAAACTGCCAAACTATTTTCTGCAGTGGCTCTACCATTTCGAATTCCCACTAATGATTCATTCAAAATGTTTTACATTTTTACCAGTGTTTGGTATTTAAACATTTTTTTTAAATGTAACTTAACTTTTATATCATTTTCATTTCTGTTCTTTCTCAAAGACATCTCAACAAGCCTACTTAGCAAATCCTTTTTTAAAACGCTTACGCAGTTCTGTGCTGGGGATGTTTTTCTCCAACAAATGAGGTAGATTTATTCCTTCCTTTGCACAGTCACCTCTGAGCCCACATTTCCAAGCTGACTCATTACACTCTTATTAAAGCAGGTAAGTGCTATGGTTACCCAAGTTTTCCGTGTACTCATTTGCACAATTCAAATTTGGGTAAGTGACTTAGCCTCTTCAAACTTCAACTTCTCTTAGATAGGAGGAAAAAAATAATTATCTCATCATCTCCAATGGATTTTCAAAATTATCACATGACATAGTACCAAGTGTAGCACTATTTCTATCACATATCAGGTAGTTTATAAGGTTAAATATTAACATTTGCTACTTGTAGAGATTGATATTGCATGGATCATAAAAAATAGTGAAACTCAAACCGTTGATCTGCTTACCCATGTGTGCTTGCCCCTTTTTCATTTAGGGAGAGACACGTAATAGTTCTGGGCAATGCACTGTGGGAAGAATCGATATTTTGGTTGAAGCATACACACTTTTCTCCTGCCATGGTAATCTTTAGTCTTATTGTTTCCGCAGGCACAACTCCTCTCCTTCTGGGACACTTATAATGCATATATTGTATTATGGTTTCTCATAAATACTTAGGTGTTCTTTATTTTTTTTCTTTTTTGCTCCTCTGCTTGGGTAATTACGAATAACCTATTTTCAAGTTCATTGATTCTACTCGTTCAAGTCGACTATAAAGCTCTTTCTGAATTTTTTAGTTCAGTCATTGTATTCTTCAGCTCCAGAATTTCTGTTTGGTTCTTTTTCATGGTTTCTATCTCTTTGTCGAACTTTTTATTTCGTTTATGTATCATGTCCTGATTTTGTTTAGTTGTCTATTTGTATTGTCTAGTAACTCACTGAGCTTCCTTAAGATGATTATTTTGAATCTCTCCTCTGGCAATTCACAGATCTCCATTTCTTTAGGTTCAATTACTAATTCGTTTTATTCTTTTTATTGTATCATATTTCTCTAATTCTTTATGTTCCTTGAAGCTTTTGTTGTCTGTACGTTTGAAGAAACAATAACTCTCCCCAATTTTATATACTGACATTAATCAGAAAAGGCTTTTCACCAACTAGCCTAGCTAGAGACTCTGAGAGCTTCTAAGCCCCGCCTTTTTTAATGTATGTGTACACTCCAGCCCTTTCTGTCTCTCCTGGGAAAGAAGTCTTACATTTGTGCATCTTCCTTCAATCTCTTAGAACTGTGCTGGCTGGAGTGAAACATTCACTCTTTTTCTCTAGGGCAGTGCACAAATAGGCCAGGTCATTGGATATATGCTCCATTCCTCTCCATTACTCTTGGGGAAAAGATTCAGAGTGTGCATC